CAGTTAGTAGCCATCACTCGACTCAACTTCGATTTGCCCCGGCCATAACTCACAGCCCCGCAAAAATGCCCCATTGGCTTTAAATTTATTATGCTGCAACTGCAAAAATTATGAGCGGCAGTCCGAGTCCAAAACTCGCGGTTGCGCTGACTTTAGCCGAATATATGGTATATTCCACATGCCCATTGGAACATGTAGATACAGACATATACATATGTATATCTGGGATTTTCCGGCCCGCAACTATTGGCCAAAGTTTAGTTTTATAGGCGTTTCGGGCGTTTGTTTTCATCATTTATTTATTTCCGAATATATGTATGCTTTTGGTCCGCGGGGAAATCGTGCGGGAAAATGCCATAAATTTGCACGATTAAAATCGTAAAAGTTACGCCGGAGATTCTTCTATATGACCGGCGGCTGTGTGGGCGGAACTGCCGGCAGAGAATTTTCAAATTTTCAACTTGAAATTGAAATGAAAGGCGGTGACTCAAACTCAAGCACGGAGGGTTCCGGATAACTATTCATTACCAAGTTTTATTCGGAAAAACAAAGTTGGTAAATGGCAGTTAATGTTTATACACACACTAGATTTATTCTAGAATGATTTTTGACAAAGTACCAACTTTAGTTTTATACAGTTGATTACATTTTAAGGGCATACATATACCTTCTTTTAGAATCATTAACTAGGGTAAATAAATGTGGTTTTTAAACCTGCACACATCCCAACCTTTTTACTATTTCAGCTCCATTTAAACTGAACCTGCTTTCGGCAAATTTAAAGCCGCTTAGCATGGAAGTCACTTGGCCTGTCAATGTCGCTTCATCAGCCAAACTAACCAACTAAGCACACACTCAATCCCTGGCACACATAGATACACTCATCAGGCTAAAGTCCACAACCGCAAAATACAGCCACACACGGGCGTCGAGGGAGGGGGGTCATCTGCTCCTGTTGCTCCTCTCGGGGTCTAGGCCAAAAGTTGGCAGGGGTGGGGGATGGAAAGGAGGTCCAAATGGGGGCTCAGGTGTGCCCCAAAATTATACGCGCCATGCACGTATCCACTTTGGCAAATTGTCTGTTTATCAGACAACTGGCAGGCCCAGTCAGTCAGTCCCCTGAAAACCCCTGAACCCCTGAACCCCCTGCCCGAAGAACCCCCTTTCGACTGTGGTCGGTTTATATTTGCACAAAACGGGCGACGCTCGTGCAAAAACAAACACAAACAGAGACACTCGCACACAGATACGTCGCCTCGGTGTGTGTGAGCATAAATATTTCATTGGCGCACTCACCAAGCGAGACACCTAAATTTTGTAATATTTACAAAGTTGCCAAAAAACGTCGAAGCCCCCCGAAACCGAATCGAATTGAATCGAGGCGCAGCGAATCGGAGCAGCCGAGCAGAGCCGACAGGTTAACCGAGCCACAAAAATGTACACTGAGGAAAGTCACGAAAAGATCTAATCGATTAAAGTATCTTTGACTTAAGATCAAGTCTTTTCAGTATATCTGTGGCTATTGGGATTTGCTTCTTAGGGATTTATTTCTACTATAAGATTAATAATGTGACACTGTGACACTTGAACAGGAATAATAATTTTTCTAAATTTGAGTCTTTAGGTGAAGATTGTTAAATATAAATGTTTTAACGATATCGTAATATACTTTTTTGTATACCTTTTAGAAATATAGAAAAGAAAAGATTTTTAAGTTTTTTAAATTTAAATTCATTACGTAAATTAATTAAACTTTATAATAAAAAGGTACCTTTCCGTGAACTATTATTTAGTTAAATGCCTGACAAACTTTAATTTTTCACAGTGCACAGGCAATCCCAGTGCCAAAGCCAAAACCAAAGCCAAATCCAAGTCCATATTTGACGTGTGCCGTTGACATGTTCATTTTCTTGTTGTCGGCTGTGGGGAAAATTGAAATTGCTTGGCCAAGGTGTTTTCCAGACAGCAACAAATAAGTCCTGGCTCCTCGTCCTGCTCGTTCCCCTTCCCCTTCCCCTTCCCATTTCCATCGCCATCCCCTTTCAGCCTGCCAGGCAACCGAAATCAAAGCGAACGCGGCCTGAAAAGTATTTTTTTGGCACGGCTTCGTGGGTCTGGGATATTGACATTTGGACAGTTTTATGAGTACCTGCGATCCGTGTTTGTGTCCCCTTCCCATTCGAATATCTATCTGTGCGCTCGTTCGACATTTGTCAGCTTTATAGCATTTGCGGCTGGCCGACAATTGACAGAGCATTTGTTTGTGCTCTTTCGAATGACTTATGAGCGGGCCAGATGTACGACGAGATGGACAAGGACGAAATGGCATTACCAGGAGCCCTTGGTCACATTATTAGTTTTGCTGCCAGTTTCCAGATCCCACAGGTCGAGCTTGTTGGCCATTTGAGGCTGTTTGCTATGACAGGTCCAGCATACCACATCCCTTGTGGAGTATATCAGTCGAAAGGGAGCCTAGCCCACTGACATAATTTTGTTGAATTACTGTGAGTTTAGAAAATGTAAGTATGTTAAAATACATTTTTACTACTTGCTGTAAGCACTTCATGGGTGGTCATTACAATTTAAAGCCTTTCTCTGCGCTTCTCATAAAGCCAAAAAGCTGCGACGCACCCACTTTGCACCACAATGTTGTTAGGTAACTCCACATCCCGCTCCCTTTAGTATCCCTCGCTGAGGGAGTAGGACATTAATGCGGTGTCCTGGCACATTACATGTGTGTGGGCGCTCACAGGGGCCAAAACCACTAAATGAGAAGCGAAGCTGTAGCAGGCAAATGATGATTTATATTGTTGTGAGTGGACAGAGCTTGGGTGGAACATGCCCGGCTGAGAGTAAACGTTGTAAAAATAATTTCATTTGCATTATCATCAGCATTTCCCTGGCATGTGTTTAGCATTTTACTCCGCATCCGCATCTGCATCTGCATATGAACGCCCTCTGCTTCTTCCGTCGGTCCCACTTGAGGGGAGCTCTTGAAATTATATGCGTTATGACAAATACTCCCAGATATGGCCAAGTGGCTTTCGTGGCGATGTTGGTTTGGCGCTGGCAGCTCGACAAACATTTTCACAAAAGTATGAAGAATTTCGTCTCGTTTCGTTGTCGAGTTGTTGAAGTGTTTGATTTGCCAGAGTCGAGGGAAAAATGGTTTCGGCCAGCCAGAATCGGAAAATCCATAAAGCAAATGAAATTCTGTGGACCGAACCGAAGCCAAAGCCAAAGGCCCGTAATCAAGTCAACTAAGCGCTGCTCAAATCCATTCAAGTGCATTAAAATTGAATTTCGTTCAGCACACACATATATAGAGTGAGTCCAGAGACAAAATAACAACAATGGAACAAAAACCAAGCCCCAAATGCATTCTCTACAAGGGGAAAATCGGCGTGGATGGGGCCATGCTCACACATTGTATGCAAAATATTTATGTTGATAAATCAAGTTTGCTTTTGTGGATTAGGTGTATCTCAAATAAATTGAATTTGCGGCGTAAATTAAGCCAGAACCAAGAGCCAGGACACACACTGACTCACTGCTCGCATTCGCAGGACTCTGAAGTGGAGGCCTAACAGCCAAGTTCTGCCAAGTTGTCGGCCAAGTTATGAGCTTGTTTAATTGAAAATAAATCTGCTTAAAGCCCCAGCTGAGGCGAGCAATATGACAGCCACACACTCTCATTTGCCCAGGCCCTATATCTCCATCTATATTTCTATCTCCGGTTCTCGGGGGGCCGTAAAAAGCGAAAAGAGAAATTGCGGAAAAGTCGTAAGTAGAGCGAACATGAACAAAGCAGATAAAATACAAAATACTGCGGAAATGCAGCGCAAATACAATGAATCTCAATGTGTATGAATATGCATGGCACATCACTCATACGCCACGTCCCCCCAGAAACAGAAGCCTCGCCATAGTAAATCACTGGAGTCCGTAGTCCAAAGTCCGGAGTCCCCGAGAACTCCGCCACTGGTGATGCGGCTTTCTGGCACAAACAAATGGCAACCACAACACTTGACCAGCGCGAATGGGGACGGATGGTTGGGGTTATGGGGCTGGGATGGGAATGGGAATGGGAATGGGATCGGGAATGGGATCCCGATGGGCAAACTGTTAGACTGAGCTGGCAGCAGCGATTAAACCGGGCCAAAGAGTGAGTGAAAAACAGCAAGCTACCGGCTGGAGAAACAATTCACTACCACTTGGTTCGCCTGGCAGTTTAAAGTGCTTCTTGCCACCATTTCTCTCTGGGCCAGGACTCACTTCAGCTTAAAGCCCTCGACTGACTTCATTTTTTTTTATAGCCCCCCCCTCGACATTCAATTAGATTGGAAAAAGTCCCCAAATCACTTGCTAATGGTTTCGGCTCTGAACGTCGCTCCTCTAACCATCATCCTGGGTCCATTTTACAAAGCTGACCGGCCAGACAGACAGACAAATAATATTTATTTATTGATGGCGAAATATGGGCGGCAGCAACTGCAACGTCGTGGCACCCGCCAAACTGTCGGCAACATTTATAAATTATGATTGCAATCAACGTTCAACAAAAGCGCGTTCCACCATCAGCTTGTAAGTTGGTTGTTATACTCTATGGCTTTTGGGCACTAGCAAGCCCATTAAGAATATTATTTTCTTTATCTTTATATTCCATGAAAAATTACTTGGAGGACTTAAGCTTGTCAGAAACTATCTGATGTTGGAAAAAAGCGATTGGTTTATTGTAAATTCCTGAGTAACATTATAAGTTGTCTTATTTTTTATGGGCTACATCTCTAAATTAGATATTGAAACATTCATATATTCTATTTGTAACAAAGATATATTTCAGTTAGGGCATTACAAGTTATGTAATGTTTGTGTAGCTAGATCTCCCCTTTCTGATTTGGTAGAATGACAGATGCAGGGCCACACACAAAATGGATGGGAAAAGGCAGAAAGAGCGTGAGAGTGAAACACAGTCTGACTGCAATAAACGTGACAATTTATATAAATGTTGCATATTCATAACGAGGAGCAATGGGAAAAAGTTTGCCACAATGCCGCGGCTCTCGGCTAATGAATGTTGGCCAGTTCGGAGGAGGGATTCGCATGTGGAGCAGTCACTGCCGCCAGGGGCATTCCAATTCCAATTCCAACTCCGTTCCCATTTTGACTTCCACCCAGGGACTTTTTCTAATCCGCTGCGTGGGCGCAGGCAGTATGACGATCATTAATCTGCCGCTAATGCCGGACCTCACTTGCAGGTCTCCAAATCATCCGCACACGGGTAGGTTGTATCTTTGTATCTGGTATCTGCGAATCTGGGGGCTGGCGTGTGTGGATTTCCTGGACAGCCAAGGCAACACCTCTCGAGAAACGGCCATCGCCTTGAGGGGCTTGGCTCTGGCTTTGACTTTGGCTTTGGCTCTGGTTTTAGCTTCAGCTATGGATTTGCACTGGACTTTTGCAAAGTTGCGAGTTGTGACAGCAGCAAAATGGGTAAAAACGAGTGAGAAATTGCCAATTGCAGTTGGAGCTGCACCGGGTCCAGGTGAAAGTCCCGCTCACGCACGAGTTTGTGATAGATTTGCTGATTACTTCGGGGACAGGTTTTCAGTCCGAGATACAATTTAAACGATTCCCACTCACGCATGGCATTTGTGTAATTTCTGTGATTTTTTATGGTCACTCAACGAAAGTGTTTTACTGCTTTCAGGCACACAATGGACTTGGGGATACGGATCTTACAAAGAAATTGATTTAACTAGTTTGGGACTTAACTGATTCTCCTGCAATAAATCTAGACAATTTGTGTAAATCACATCTCTCTACAATTGGCACTCTATAACTTCGCCAGGCAAGTACTTGATCCAATTGAGTTCGTATTTTTTCTGCTAACTCTCAAAGATAGTTTCTTTTTTAGTTGGCCCCCCATCTCGGATCCAATTTAATCATCAGCAGCTCACACAAGCTCATCTGGCGGCTCATCTTCTTGGAGCAATTTACGGCTCCCGAGTCCCCGTTTTGTGTCTCAGACTGGAAATTGAGTTTAAATTGCTCTCAGCTGATGTCGGGGCTCCTCTTACCCGGCTAAACTAGAATTTCAATAAATGTCACATGTCCCGGCGCTGCCTGCGTACGCAAATTGTTGATTAAAGCGAGCGGAGCAACCTGAAGCCTGAACCTGAACTCCGGGCCAAGAAGGGTTCATTAGGCAACGGGCCGGGGTATCCGGTAACCCCATCCGAGTGTATATATGGGTTAATAAGGCGGGAACAGCAGGATGTGTGCAGCTTCCACCTCGGCTGACATCTTGTGCCTTGAATGTCATTAGCGTGGCTCGGTGTTAGTTGCCCCCTGAGGCAGATCCACCGGCGGATGAAACCCCAAAAACCCAGGCACACACAGCAGCAGGGGCGGAGTCCAAAGGGGGTTCAGAGCTGGCAGACAACTGCCAACTGCCGCAGCGCAAACAAGATTAATTAAGGAATGTAAATTTCGCAAAATTACGCGCCATTGTTTGACTCGGGCCCTCTCTTTCTGGCGCTGTCCCCCGACAGATCTCCATCTCTATCCCGCTGTGTGTGCGAAAGGGTGTTGAGATTTTTTCCATTAACAACATCATCAATGGGCCGCGGGTCGCAAGGTCGAAAGGTGTCCTGACCCACACCCCATTTCACCATTTTCCCCCCCTGTTTGTTTGTTTGTTGTCGTGCGACGACGGGTTGTTGTTTTGGGGACTTTAGCGGATTTCTACTGACTGCGGGCAGGAGTTTAGCCAGCTTTTCAATTTTAGCCATGACCACGGCCGCAGCTCCAGATCCTGCTCCTGCTCCATCCTGCTCCTGGGTTTGACCAGAGTTCTGCGCTTGTCAGTCGCCGCATGAGCCACTTGAAGGGTTGGCCAACATTTTTAATTAGTGTCGTCAGCGTCAACGTCGTTTGTTGCCGATTTTATCCAGTAATTTGAGATTAAAAAGGGGTATATCGTTTGTAATGACTGGGGATGGAGTTCACAATAAAGTCCTGTTCTAATGTGAATCATTTCGGTTTTTATTATATTGCCAAAGACATAGAAGCTACTAAAAAACGCTACTTCATGGCAATGCCTTATAAAAATTATGAAAAGATATAGGTTGCTGGTAAATTGCACACCTATTGTACTCTTCAGGATAAGTTTAATACCCTACAGCACTTTTTCTAACCCAAATGGTATGGTGTCACACAAGTACTGGGTATATCCCATTCGGGTTTCCCCACACCAGCCAATCCGTTTGTTATTTCTTCAGCTGGTTGTGGCTGCGGTTGCCTTGAACCCTTTGTGTATTGTGTCAGAAGCATGCATAAATTATATTTTCTGCGGGACGTTGGAAATTTCTAATGAAGCCCGAAATTGGTTTGCGGGAAATAACGAAGACGTGTGGGCCACACATTTGCTCGAACAGTGGATTGGGAAATTTTCGGTAATGGTAATAGGGGGATGGGAAACTTTCCCAACTACCTGATACCCGCTGGGCGGCAATGTGTTTTCGCATTTTCCCGCCACGCATCTCGACCAATTTCCCGGTGGCCAATGGTTTGGGCCATTGTTTACGCATTGCCGACGAACGTGTCGAAATGCGAGGCGTGCTAGTCAGCTGCCAAAGTATCTGCATCTACAGCCATGTATCTGGTATCTGCGATTGCAACTGGACTGCAGTCTGGCATATTTGGGTCAGCCTTTAAATAAACTCCCTGGCAGAGCAGGAAATGCCAGTGTTTGTTTGATGTTTCAGTTACACATCTCTGATGGCTTAATAGGGCCAAGAGGCCGGAGATGCTGTGTTTGGGTTTTGGGTTCCTGGAAATGCCAGAGATGTTCTCGGGCATCCATCAATCCTGGGCGCAGTTCTGACAGCCGTGAAATCGTGTTAAACGTAATCTCAGACTAACCAAAAATCACCCTCCTCCACATCTCCTCGCCACAGTTATCCGAGGCATGAATGATGGCACTCAAATTACATTAAATGGAATTCCGATTGAGCCAAAAGACCGACTGCTCAGTCCCCCCATCGAACGGTCCACCAATACCGATCCCCCAATCCCAGAATGACAATGACGATGACAAGACAATGGCGGGGCAACAGAAACCGAATTCGAAATGGAAACAGTAAATGGCATTTACATGTTCCTGTCATAAGGCCGAAAGGGGAGCAGGGAACCAATTTAATGAATCAGCATCATCATCATCAGCCATCCAGCCATCCAGCTATCCAACTTCGGGTAGGCCTCTCGAAATGCAGCATTGCAGATATCGGAGAAGTTGCAGCTGCAACGAGTGCAATCAGACAAATGCAATTAGGATTTGGCGACGCTTTCGTGTCGGGCATTCTAAGCATGCTACATCGTCATTCTTTTTCGGGTCTCCGGATTCCGGTTGCCCCATCCCGGGGGAGAATGCAACAAGCCCAAGTTGAGGCACAGACATGATGCCGTGATGCAAGGTCCGACGCTTGCCACCGGGGAGTTGACATGAAAGGCGCCGAAATGTCGATCCACGAGGATGAAGTGAACATCTCCAAGCTGTCCCAAATGGGGAGGAGGAGCCATGGAAGGGGATTTTTCAAGAACTTTCAATTAAAGCCTGCTCTCTCTTTCATCAGATATCTTTAAAGCCTTAAAGGAGATAGCGCTCCCACTTTTTGTATAATATTCAATTAAATGGTTCATGTTACCCCTGGTAAAAGAATAAATACTTAATGGTGGCAGCCTCATTTTTAATACATTAAAAAGGCATTTTGACCAAGCATTAAGAGATAGTAAGCATTAAAATAGCACTTTAGTGAACATTTTTAATTAGGTCATCCACTTGAGAGACATTTTCTATAGGGGAAATACTGGCTTATAAAGATAAAAGTACTGCCACAACCTTTTTTAATCTAAGAACACAAATATGTTTTCTATGACTTTCGTTTCAGCCACGTTTACAAACGTACTCAATAAAACTTTTAAAGGCTTTTCATATTAAATAGGTTTCCAAATGGAAGGCTGGCTGAGATGCTTAAACACCCCCCTGCTTACCCAAAAATTTCCCCGAATTTCCCGGCTTCTTGTTTGCACTCGAGCAACTTTTGAGCCTTCGCCGGACTGCTGATGATGTCCGCCCGGCTTGGCAGCTCTCAATTAAATATTTAACTTTAAGAAATGTAATTTCAATTAGCGCCACAGCATTTGGCCATTAGCGTGGCGAGCGGCGAGTTCCGAATGCCGAGATTTGTGCCAATTGCGAAATGCGGAATACAAAAACAAGAGCTGCGATGAATGAGCAAACAGCAAGGAGCAGGAGCAGGAGGAAAATTGTGGGCGGAGTTGGAAAAGTGGGCGGGGCGGGGGAAAGCGTACAATTCGGACACCACCCGCGCCGCTCACTCACTCGCTCAAAATCATTACGTGATTAAGGTTGCCATTACGGCCGGGAAAGCAAAAATAGAAAACTAGAGCATGGCACGCAGACAGCTGCAGAGGGGTTTTCCGCGGGGCGGAAAATGGGAAAACCGGGAAAGGGGGGCAGACGCTCTGCGGCCGCAATTGCGCTCGCTTGGTTTGGCGGAAAATGAAAAAAAAACCAACAAAATAAATAAAAAATAAAAACCGAAGAAGCAACAAGAACAGAGCCAGCTAAATAACAGCAAATAGAAATAAATAAATCAGCGACACGGCAGCGAACCTCTGGGGAGGATGTGGAGGTGGTGGCCAAAGGGTCGTCTTGGCCGCACAAAAACAATTAAAATGAAAAACCGTAAGCACTCTAATTCCGGGAGGAAAGGCGGGCGGAGTCCTCTCGGGGGGCTTCCCCGCCATCGAATTCGTATTCCTCACCCGCACGAGCGAACAAAATGGTTCGAAAACAAATTTGCCGATCTAATTAAAAGCTAAATTGTGACCATTAAACGGGGTTCACAACGCCAGAGTCAGCTTTACATACAAAAAAAATTAATTCAACCGGAAACCACAATCAAATCATCAGAACACCATTATAAAGACACCCAAAAAAAAGAAATCCTAACTAAGAAAAATCAATATCTTGCTATGCTTACTACTTCTACTAACTAAACAAGTATAACTAATATTTCCAGTTTAACAATAGTATCTTAACTTAAACACTCCAGTTAAAAACATTTTTTCCAGTGCACTATCTGTGACCTTAAGTGGGTACCACTGCATGGAAAAACATTGAAAAGCATTTAAGTTCGCTCCGCCTTTCAACAAGTTGGCAAGCAATGCAATTTACGGATGCAGGGGGATCGACGAGGAGGGTGAAGTGGAAAGGGTGCCAGGATGCAAGGACATGGCCATTAGTGGGCCACGAGAGGAATAGAAAAAAAAAGTATGCCAAGCTGACCACACAGCGCAGGATAACACAGACTAGAAAGAGAACCAGGACGAGGTTCTGGAGACTGTGGACGGGAGACTGGGAATGTGGACACGGACGTCTGGCAAATTGTAAATTAATTGATGAAGGCGAGGTTTATAAGAGACAGGGACAAACTCTCGTACTCCGAATTCCAGAGGTGGACGTTGAAAAATTGTCCAGGGTTTGACCTATTTAGTTGTGTTCAGTATGTAAATTGTATGTTTCATATGACTATCAAGCCAACAAAGAGTCAAATTAAAGAAGATTTTGTGAAACATCTTTTTAATGACTATACAAGTTGGGTCAAGAAAGAACCAAAAATTTAAGGACTTTTTCTTATTCGGCTAATAAACTAAAAATAGGTCCAAAACATTGAAAGAATTCGTTTTTTAAAACTATTTTTAGTTTTACATGGAAAAAAGAATGAAAAAAGGTTATATCATTCGTATTCCCTTTTA